GGTGGAGTTGTGGATAGTGCGGAAGGATGTTGCAGGTTACAGAGGGACATAGATAAGCTGCAGAGCTGGGCTGAGAGGTGGCAAATGGAGTTTAATGCGGAAAAGTGTGAGGTGATTCACTTTGGAAGGAGTAACAGGAATACAGAGTACTGGGCTAATGGTAAGATTCTTGGTAGTGTGGATGAGCAGAAAGATCTCGGTGTCCATGTGCATAGATCACTGAAAGTTGCCACCCAGGTTGATAGCATTGTTAAGAAAGCGTACAGTATGTTAGGTTTTATTGGTAGAGGGATTGAGTTTCAGAGCCATGAGGTCATGTTGCAGCTGTACAAAACTCTGGTGCGGCCGCACTTGGAGTATTGCGTACAGTTCTGGTCACCGCATTATAGGAAGGATGTGGAAGCATTGGAAACAGTGCAGAGGAGATTTACCAGGATGTTGCCTGGTATGGAGGGAAGGTCTTATGAGGAAAGGCTGAGGGTCTTGAGGCTGTTTTCGTTAGAGAGAAGAAGGTTAAGAGGTGACTTGATAGAGACATACAAGATGATCAGAGGATTAGATAGGGTGGACAGTGGGAGCCTTTTTCCTCGGATGGTGATGGCTAGCATGAGGGGACATAGCTTTAAATTGAGGGGTGATAGATATAGGACAGATGTCAGAGGTAGGTTCTTTACTCAGAGAGTAGTAAGGGCGTGGAATGCCCTGCCTGCAAAAATAGTAGACTCGCCCACTTTAAGGGCATTTAAATGGTCATTGGATAAACATATGGATGATAATGGAATAGTTTAGGTTAGATGGTCTTCAGATTGGTTTCACAGGTCGGTGCAACATCGAGGGCCAAAGGGCCTGTACTGCGCTGTAATGTTCTATGTTCTATGCTTTCTCCCCATACCCCTTGATCCCTTTAACTGCAAGGGCCATGTCCAGCTCCCTTTTGAATATATCTGACAAACTGGCCTCAACAGCTTCCTGTGGTAGAGAATTCCAAAGGTTCACAACTCTCTGAGTGAAGAAATTCTTCCTCATCTCAGTCTGTTTTGGCTTACCCCTTAGACTGTGACATCTACTTTTGGACTTCCCCAACATCAGGAACATTCTTCCCACATCTAGGCTGTCCAGTCCCATCAGGATTTTATATGTTTCTATGAGATACGCCCTCATTCTTCATAATTCCAGTAAGTACAGGCTCAGTTGATCCAGTCTTTCTCCACATGTCAGTCCTGCCATCCTGGGAATCAGTCTGGTGAACCTTTGCTGGACTCCCTCAATAGCAAGAATGTCCTTCCTCAGACTAGGAGACCAAAACTGCACATAATACTCAAGGTATGGCCTCACCAAGACCCTGTATAAATGCAGCAAGACATCCCTACTCCAATACTCAAATTCTCTCGCTATGAACATAGAACATAGAACAATGAAGGCCAGCATGCCATTAGCTTTCCTCACTGCCTGCTGCACCTGCATGCCAACCTTCAGCAACTGTTCCACCATGACACCTGGGTCTCGTTGCACCTCAACTTTTCCTAAACTGCCAGTATTCAGAAAATAATCTGCCTTCCTGTTTTTGTGACCGAAGTGGATAACGTCACATTTATCCATATTATTCTGCATTTGCCAAGTATTTGCACACTCAGCCAGTCTGTCCAAGTCACCCTGCAGCCTCTCAGCATTCTCCTCACAACACACACTGCTACCCAGCTTAGTGTCATCTGCAAATTTGGAGATACTGCATTAAATTCCTTTGTCCAGATTGTTAATGTATAATCTGAACAGGTAGGGTCCCAGCACTGAACCCTGCAGTACCCCACTTGTTACTGCCTGCCACTCTGAAAAGATTTTGTACATTTGGTACAATCACGATGGGCTGAATGGGCTTCTTTCTGTATTTTCAAATTCACTGATTCAATGAATATTGAATGGCAGAGGAGACTCCTAATTCCTCTGTGTGTTTGTATGTTCATCTTGTATAAGGTATGGATTCTCTGAGTGTGACTATTACCAAGCTGGTGCTTGACCGGTCTGTGTGGTAATTCCCCCAATTTTAGTACAATCCCCCAGATCTTAGTTGCGGGGGTCGGCTTTGCAGTATTGACAGGATTGGCTTTTCCATCATCAGTCTAGGTCCATGTCATTTAATATGTTCCATTTCATTTCCCTTAAAGTTTGCAATCGTTAGTATATCACTTGGCCATTTCAGGGGCAGTCAGACTCTACCAAATTACAGTCGTTTGGAGTCACATGTAGACCAGACCGGGTAAGGAAGACAGATTTCCATCCTTAAAGAGCATTAATGAACTAGATGAGTTCTTACAAAAGTCAACAAGGGCTTTGTGGTCACCAGACGACTGCTTATTGATTGCCTTCAGTTATAATTCAGTTGATTTCGCTACTGGCTACAGTGGGAATGAAAGCCGAGTTTATACTGGGACCAGTTATATTACCATTACCACTGCCTCACCATGCTGATTCCCCCCAATTAGAGATGGCCACTAAATGCTGGCCTAGCCATCCATACCTAGATCCCACGAAAGCACAAAGTGACACTTCACTCCCACTTCCTCACTCCCAAACCCATGTCGCTGTCTAGACCCCCAGAAATAAAATCAATGGCCCTCCAGGATCTGGGGCCAGTGACAGGGGGGCTACTGAGCAAAGACCACTCTGGCTGAGAATCCAGATGTTGTCAAGCCCTCCAAAGCTCACCTTCCATTCTCGGACAGGAAGATGCCCTCTTCCTTCAGTCTCTTGCTCTTCACTGTGCAGTCTTCCAGCAAGGCTTTCCGCTGCCTTTTGGTCACATGCAACCAATCCACATCAGCTTCAACCAGACCATCATCCACAGCTGCTGCCTCAAAGTTCTGCGAGGCGACCTTTGACACTTTTTCCCCAGCTTTCCGCTTCCAACCAAAGGATGTCATCCTGTACAAGTGAGAGAGCAGGAGAAAGAATGAGAGAGTTAGCATTACCAAGTGAGGGAGTGTGACAGAGAATCAAAGCAAGCACAAGTGTGGGACAGTGAGTGTAAGACAGAGAGCAAGGGGAGAACAAAACAGACAGCACAAGACTGTGTGTGAGGGAGAAGGATCAGGCGAGAGAGCAAGACAGTGTAAGAAAGGCTCAGGGAGTGAGAGAGACACAGCGAGGGAGTGTGGGACACAGTGAGTGGGAAAGTGAGATGTAGAGAGTGAGAGTTTAATGCAGAGAGCAGGAGACATAAAGAGAGGCAGAGTGAGAGTGTGACACACACAGCAAGTGAGAGAGTGACAGAAACAGAGTCTAAGAGAAAGAGACATAGACAGAGTGAGAGACAGTGAGAGGGAGAGAGACAGAGAGAGGGAAAGAGACAAAGAGAGTCACACAGAAAGAGACACAGGGCACAAGAGAGAGACACACAGACAGAGAGGTCTCACATTGAAAGCGAGAGATATTCAGGCAGAGGGGGAGAGAAAGAGAGAGACAGAGAATCAGACGCAGAAGTAGAATGATAAGGAAGTGCAACAGAGGAGACAGACAAAGAAGGAAAAGGGCAGCTTGCAGTGAGGAGAAGGAGAATAGACAGAGTAAGGGAGAGCGATAAAGACACCAAGTGAAAAAAGAGGAGATTCAAGATTCAGAGCCAATGAAGGTACAGCAATGGAGAAGCAGAGGAAGAAGACAATAGAGTGAGACAGAGAAGGCAACAGTTCTAAACAAAACAATGAAACAGTAGAGTTAACGTTTACAGATAGAGACACGTAGATGATCAGACAGAATGGGTGTCTTCAATTATTGCAGAACGTAACATTCTTACAAATTCTTTCACACCTATGCATGTCCTCGTCAAAAGAGCAAACTGCATTTTCTGAACTTCAACTTTGGTAAATGGAATGGGGGCAAAGCAGGAATAACCGTAGCAGAATGCCCCTTCACTGAACATTTCTCACGATTTCATGTTTCATAGAATACAAGGCAAACAATGAAGTAAACAGTGGAAACACTCAGCAGATCTGGCAGCACTAATGGAGAAGGGAACAAACTTCCTGTTTGAGGTCAATAGCTTTTCAGCAGACCCCCCAATAATTTCAGAAAATGCTACAAATATTTAAGATCTAACCACGAGATAAATTATCCATCGTGCAGCTTTTTGTAAACTCCAAAAGACCTCAACAGTTCAAGAAGGCAGTTTATCATCACTAAGGTTCTTGAATAGATTTGAAGCTGTGGTTGGTTGGCTCGCCGAGCTGGTTCGTTGTTCTGCAGATGTCTCATTACCCTGCTGCGTAACATCATCAGTGCAGCCTCCGATGAAGTGCTGCTGTGTTTTCCTGCCTGGTATTTAACATCACCTTCACAAGGCCAGTTAGGGAATCAGAGACACCAATACCCTACAAATTAATTTTTAAAAATCACAAGGACAGGTACAGCACAGGGTTAGAAGCAGAGTAAAGTTCCCTCTACTCTTAAACTAGAAGTAAACAGAAAGTAAAGTTCTGTCTACTCTTTCAACTTGAAAGTAAAGCCTCCCCTATCTTTTTAAACTAAAAATAAACAGAAAGCAGAGGCCCCGTGATACCATCCCCATCAAACACCCAAACACACAAACCATGGGGAGCACAATAGCTCAGAGGGTTCGATTCCACCCTCGGATGGCTGTCTGTGTGGAGTTTGCACATTCTCCCCGTGTCTGCGTGGCCACACTAAATTGCCCCATAGTGTTCAGGGATGTGCAGGCTAGGTGGATTAGCTATGGGAAATGCAGGGTTACAAGGATACGGTAGGGAATGTGGGTCTGGGATGGATAGTCTTCGGACAGCTGGTATGGACTCAATGGAGTGAATGGCCTGCTTCCACACTGTAGGGATTCTATGAAATACTCCAAAGACAAAGACAGCATGGGGTAAGATACACAGTAAAGCTTCCTCTACTCTTCTAAACTAAAAGTAAAGCTCTCTCCCCATCAAACACTCCAGCTTAATAAGAACAAAGAACAATACAGCACAGGAACAGGCCCTTCGGCCCTCCAAGCCTGCGCCGACACATTTTGCCTCTCCACACTAAAACTGTCTTCACTTACAGGATCTGTATCCCTCTATTCCCTTCCTATTCTTGTATTTGTCCAGCTTTTTCTTGAATGCTGCTATTGTGTCTGCTTCTTCCACCTCCTCCGGCAGCACATTCCTGACACCCACCACCCTTTGTGTGAAAAATGTGCTTCACACCTTGAACCTGTGTCCCCTAACAACTGACCACCCCCCCTCCCCCACCCTGGGAAAAACCCTCATACTTTCCACTCTATCCATGCCATTCACAATCTTATAAACTTCTATTAGGTCACTCCTCAACCTCCTGCGTTCCAGTGAATCCAGTCTATCCAACCATTTTTTTTATTCATTCGTGGGATGTGGGCATCGCTGGCTGGGCCCAGCATTTATTGCACATCCCTAGTTGCCCCTTGAGAAGGTGGAGGTGAGCTGCCTTCTTGATCCACTGCAGTCCATGTGCTGTGGGTTGACCCACAATGCCCTTAGGGAGGGAATTCCAGGATTTTGACCCAGCGACAGTGAAGGAACGACGATATATTTCCAAGTCAGGATGGGGAGTGGCTCGGAGGGGAACTCACAGGGGGTGCTGTTCCTATATGTCTGCTGCCCTTGTCTTTCTAGATGGAAGTGGTCGTGGGTTTGGAAGGTGCTGCCTGAGGATCTTTGGTGAATTTCTGTAGTGCATCTTGCAGATAGTACACACTGCTGTTACTGAGCATCGGTGGTGGAGGGAGTGGATGTTTGTGGATGTGGTGCCAATCAAGCGTCTGCTTTGTCCTGGATGGTGTTGAGCTTCTTGAGTGTTGTTGGGGCTGCACCCATCCAGGCAAGTGGGGAGTATTCCATCACACTCCTGACTTGTGCCTTGTAGATGGTGGACAGGCTTTGGGGAGTCAGGAGGTGAGTTACTCGCTGCAGTATTCCCAGCTTCTGACCTGCTCCTGTAGCCCCTGTGTTAGTGCGGTGAGTCCAGTTGAGTTTCTGGTCAATGACAGCCCCCAGGATGTTGACAGTGGGGGATTCAGTGATGGTAACATCATTGAATGTCAAGGGACAGTGGTTAGATTGTCTCTTATTGGAGATGGTCATAGCCTGGCATTTGTGTGGCGTGAATGTCACTTGCCACTTGTCACCCCAAGCCTGGATATTGTCCAGATCTTGTTGCATGTGAACACGGACTGTTTCAGTATCTGAGGAATCGTGAATGGTGCTGAACATTGTGCAATCATCAGCGAACATCCCCACTTCTGACCTTATGATGGGGGGAAGGTCACTGATGAAGCAGCTGAAGATGGTTGGACCCAGAACAGTACCCTGAGGAACTCCTGCAGAGATGTCCTGGAGCTGAGATGACTGACCTCCAATAACCACAACCATCTTCCTATGTGCCAGGTCTGACTCCACCCACTGGGGAGTTTGCCCCCGATACCCATTGATTCCAGTTTTGCTAGGGCTCCTTGATACCACACTCAGTTGAATGCAGCCTTGATATCAAGGGCTGTCACTCTCACCTCACCTCCGGAATTCAGCTGTTTTGTCCATGTTTGAATCAAGGCTGCAACAAGGTCAGGAGCTGAGTGGTTCTGGTGGAACCCAAACTGGGCGTCACTGAGCAGGTTATTGCTGAGCAGGTTCTGCTTGATAGCTCCGTTACTGACACCTTCCATCATTTTACTGATGATCGAGAGGAGACTGATGGGGTGGTAATTGACTGGGTTGAATTTGTCCTGCTTTTTATGTACAGGACACACTTAGGCAATTTTCCACATTGTCTGGTAGATACCAGTGTTGTAACTGTACTGGAACAGCTTGGCTAGGGGAGTGGCAAGTTCTGGAGCACAATCTTCAGTACTATTGCACAGAATGTTGTCAGGACCCGTAGCCTTTGCAGTATCCAGTGTCTCCAACCATTTCTTGATATCACATGGAGTGAATCGAATTGGCTGAAGGCTGGTATCTGTAATGCTGGGGACCATTGAAGGAGGCCGAGATGGATCATCAACTCGGCACTTCAGGCTGAAGGTTGCTGCAAATGCTTCAGCCTTATCTTTTGCACTGATGTGCTGGGCTCTTCCATCATTGAGGATGGGGATATTTGTGGACCCTCCTCCTCCAGTCAGTTGTCCACTACCATTCACCACTGGATGTGGCAGGACTGCAGAGTTTAGATCTGACCCGTTGGTTGTGGGATCACTTAGCTCTGTCTAACACTTGCTGCTCTCGCTGTTTGGTGTTGAAGTAGTCCTCTTTGGTGGCTTCACCAGGTTGATACCTCACCTTCAGGTATGCCTGGTGCTGCTCCTGGCATGTCCTCCTGCACTCTCCATCGAAGCAGGGTTGATCCCCTGGCTTGATGGTAATGGTTGAGTGGGGGATATGCCGGGCCATGAGGTTAGTGATTGTGCTGGAGTATAATTCTGCTGTTGATGGCCCACAGGGCCGCATGGTTGCCCAGTCTTGAGTTACTAGATCTGTGCGAAGCCTGTCCCATTTAGCACAGTGATAGTGCCACACAACACAATGGAGGTTGTTCTCAATGTGAAGGTGGGACTTTGTCTCCACAAGGGCTGTGCGATGGTCACTCTTACCGATCTGCCATGGACAGGTGCAACTGCAGCCGTAGATTGGTAAGGATGAGGTCAGGTATGTTTTTCCCTCTTGTTGGTTCCCTCAGTCTAGCAGCTATGTCCTTTACGGCCCGACCAGCTCAATCAGTAGTACTGCTACCGAGACACTCTTGGCGGTGGACATTGAAATCCCCCACCCAGAGTACACTCTGTGCCCT